CACCGCGATTCTCCTTCATATATATCTACAGCTATATATCTATATATATAGCTGTAGATATATATAGATATCAATATATCATTCAAAATTTAAACATTTTCCTGTTAAATTCAAATTCTTTAACTATTTGTAAACTTGAAATTATTGCACCTTTATAAAGTTTATTAATAATATATATTTTTCATTTTTTAAAATTCTCTTTAAAATAAAAAGCCATAAATCAAATATGACAGGCAATTTGGACATTTCTGTAGAGAATATAGTATTGTCCCTGTAGAGATTTAATTCTAAGAGGTATTACTCAGTTAAACTTGTATTTTTGCATAGACTATAAAGAAACTAAAAGTATGAGAAACTTATATAATTCTTAGGAGTTATTTTCCCAAGAACTGTTAATACAATACAACTGAAAAGAAATTACATCAAGTCTTAGGTTTAAGCCTATTTTTTTTTACTATGTTTACAAAAGGTTTCATTCATCGTGATAAATTTAAAGGAATATAGTAGGCATTGTTTTCTTATTGGGCCTGCCTGCCTGCCAGTAAATTATAGGACCTTAAGGAAATATCTGTGCTCTTACTTCCACTATGGAAAACAGGAATCCTATAACTTCTCTTACAAAAGCTTAGGGTGCTTTCAAAGCACCACATTTATGCTAATTTCTAAAGATTAATGGCAATTAGATCAGGAAAGTTGCTGATTTAAAGAAAAGAAATTAACATTTCATTGGTGTCTACTGGCAAGATATACACATAACAAAGCCACCTCTGTACAAAGTGAATGCCCATATTTCGGAGCCCTCAGAAGGGAAGCCAAAATTTGACTCAGCAGTATGATTGATCCCTGTTGCTGGATCCTCCCATTTGGAATAATATTCCAGACAGTTTGTACTACCACTCCCTATGCTGAATAAATACAAAAATTCTGCCATAATCATGTGTCGATCTTTCCTTAATGTGAAATTCCCAGAAATATAAGATAGAAGACTTTGGTAGCCTTAGGAGACTTAAGGTTTAGTCTTTATGGCTTAATTCTTGAAAACCACACTTGTGCCTAAAATTTCACAAGCAGAACACAGAATGGTCCTTATAATGGACAGATGATATTGTAAGAGAAAATCTGGCTATAGAGGTATTCACTTAAAAAAGGGTACAAGTGTTATTTGTTTCAGGCTTCAAGAATCTATGTGAAAGGACTGATTTAAGCCTCCACATGAGGAGGAAGTCCTGGCATGGTAGGGATTAAGGAAAGTTGTCTGTCTAGTGCTACCCATGCCTTTTCCATTAGGACCTCTAAACCATTTGTAAAATGTAAAAGGATCAAAGGCCAATCAAAATATTTTGCTACTGAATATGTAGTGTGTGTGTGTGTGTGTGTGTGTGTGTGTGTGAAACCTAAAATGATAATGGTAATATTTGCCTCTGAAGCAGCGATTGTTTGCATCAATAAATTATTTCATCACCATTTGGTGAGTTACATTTATAGTTTCTCTCCTCCATCTTGGAATAATTACTCATATTTAACACCCAGTTAAGAGAAGTCTACCCAGATGCTTAGTGATATAATATCAACTTCCTGATTCCTTTGGAATGCAGTGACCCTTGTGTTAATGGACTGAAATATGCATTACATGGATTTTTATGTCACACTCTTTTACAGTGTTTTTGGATTCCCTACTAAAAAAAAATCATGCTTCCAAAACAGAGCTTCAGCAGTCATGTGGCTGTATTAATCTGTCATCAGAGCATTGACACTCTTTGCAGCAAGAAATTCAGAGACTCAACTTTCCTGGCTTCCAGATAAACTCTTACCTAAGAAAAGAAAGACAGGGAAGGTTACGCCCCTAGGTCACACATTTCTGAGAAAAGATACAACTTTCATCAGCTAAATTTAAATTAGAGAAAGTTAAAATTATTTTGAAAGAAATACATCTTGGAGAGTTTCTGTAAGAATAACACAGACCTCTGTCATCAACAAGGTGTAAGTCATTCATAATTAGGATTCTGTGAGAGATGACTCATGTTTCTTGGATAAATGAACATAAAAGCAATTAGTAGGGTGTGAATTATTTGGTTTCTAAATCGCCTGACAGTTATGACAACCAAATCGAGATTTTTATCTGCCCAATACTGGTTCAATATATTCAACATTAATTTAACTTTTTTTTTAACCTCAAGTCAGTGAGAAACTTTTTGAAAAACTTAAAAAAATATGTAGTATTATACTTCCTGTTTAAGGAAAGAGGACACAACAAAAAGATGTGATTCCAATACAAATCCACCAAATTGAATGTGTCATCCCAGTGGACATGTCCAATATAATGCAAAACTTTAAATCTCATGATGGGCAGCCAGGCACCTGCTCAGCATGTGCCTTGCACATGATAAACTGAGAAAGCTAGTAAATGCAGCTGCTCTGAATTCTGTGGAGTACTCCTCACACACTCAAGGCTGTCTCATTTCCTTGCTCAAGAGAAATTTATAACCTAAAATGTACACATTGACATAGGCCTAGAGAACTGAGGACCATGAGAAGATTAGGAAATTAATCATATCCCAGTGATTTATTCATTGGGTTTATCTGAGAGTTTACATAGCAGCACAGGTGACAGCGAGAATACTGCCTAAAAGCAAAGACTTGGGAATATGCCGGAGCAGGGTCTAAATACTGCATCTGTACATTTCTAGTTGGATGACCTCATTCCATTTCATACTCTCTCCCTGCCTCAGTTTCTGACTTCATAGAGATTGTAAGGATTAACTGTCGGACTTGTAGTGATTAAATGTCACAATGCTTAATAGATCATAAACTTCTTGAAAATGGTCCACATGTCTCTCTTGCTGAATATTGAATCTCCCAGCATATTCTCTGGCATATCATACAGCTCAGTGAATGTTAGGTGAAAAATTATGCAAAATGCTTATCATAGTCCCTATATAAAATAATAAAACATATTTTTGATCGTGAAAATCACCACATTTAAGACCTTTCAGAATTCCTTTTATGATTTCTTAAATCACTTAGAATACTGTAACTTTCAAATTCCCATAAGACTTCCAGTAATATGACCTGTCTCTGTATAATTTTATCCTGAATTAATATTCTATTCTTTTCTTATACCTCTAACATATTGCTCTTCTTTAGTTTACAAACCAAACTGTTTCCTACCTCAGGACCTTTGCATGTGCTTCTTCCACTATGTTCTTGCCTTTTCCTGTTCTGTGTGATTTTCCTCCCCACCTTCTAGCTCTTCTGATTAAGAGTTCTACCAGACCCAGAATCACATACTTTGTTGTGAAATCTCAGAAGCAGTAACAATGAAAGCAAAGAAATCTATAGGTTTCCACACTAGCCTACTTCATGGTATACTTCAGCAAGTGGCAATGCTTAACATCCTGAAAAGCCAACTGGTTAACTTATACAAGGAATGGTTAGTGATTTTTTTCTGAGCCTTCTCATAACTTTACATCCTCAGCTCCATTCACCTTTACATAGATGTAATTCCTGTGATAAATTACTTCTGTAATATCCATTATCCTCGCTTTCTGATTAGACCGAAGTTGCTAATGTTATTGGTGATGGAACTCTGAAGGTCTCAGAGTAACAGAACTATGAAGACAAGTGTGCCTGGCATTGATTTTTATTGGATTTAAGACACCCGTGTTCTTGTAGCTGGTGGTACTGAAAACACCAGTAACCCACTGTTTTGGTTAGTTTTCTCTCATTGCTGAGACAAAATACCCAACGCCCAAAATGAAGGAAGGAAAGGTTTATTTAGCTTACAGTTTGTGGAGATTTTATATTTAGCTGGCTCTGAGGCAGAAAACAGCAAAGCAACAAGAGCAAAGGGGGGGGAATGGCAGCTGACAGCAAAGCAGCCAGAGCAAAAGGGAGGAATGGAAGCAACCAGCCTCTTTCCCTGCCTTACATTGTAAACAGGCTACCCCCACCTAAGAGGCGTGTAGCTCTCACATAATCTCCATGCCCTCCTCTTCCACAGGCTCAGGATGTATACAAAGTAAGCACCCTGGCTTCCTGCTGAGTCACTTAGCCAAACCTCTAGACTCCCCAAGTTGACACAATGTATCAACCATAACACTCCACCCCTTGTCAACTTGGCAACCAGACACATTTCTTTAAACCAGTTT